TGATTTTTTTAGTGCATTGAGAAGCCAGTCGATAATCCGAACAGGTAAATTCGAAAGTGGAAATAAAATAAAACTTGATTGCCAACCAGGTCGATAACGAATATGAGGAAATGCATTCATAACAGCATGTTGCAGAGATCGCACGACTATTATAGGATCTTCGGCAAATTTGAAGAATGGACTTTCTTGTATGATATTAAATTCAGTTTTAATAAAATTTTCTCCCCATCGTTCTTTAGCATCACTTGAAAGTTGATTCCAAAAATCTGCAAATGATCCACGACTCGTTTCAATAATGGGTGTTCTCATTGCACCTGGTTCAATTACACTAACATGTAAATCTCATGGAACCATTTCATGACGAAGACAATCAGAAAATGACTCAAGTGCACATTTCGATGCGCAGTAAGCAGATGAGCTTGGTAATCCAAGATAATCGACTGCAGAACTAGTATTAACAACACGTGAGTCACGTTTAGTAATAAGTAATGGTAAAAATTTCTTTGTCATTGCAACATGTCCAAAGTAATTAACATCCATAATTTTTTTATAATTTCCATTGATATCCAATCAACGTATCCAAAACTAGGGTGTGGGTGTGGGTTCGGATAAGGTGTTTACCCGCACTCAGCCACACCCACACCCACACCCCACACCCACACCCGTATATCACTGGCATTGACTACAACAATGGCTGCACCTGGAATGTGAACTTTCTTGAAAGACCCTTCGATCGATTGTCGGTTTGGATAATTTGACTCACTGCTAGCAATAACACTAGACACAAGAACCAATACAAATAACAACAAACACGCCATAATTTGATTCATACATATGTCATAAGGAATGATCTTTGTCGTACTCAGTCGTGCTTAGTTAGAGTCCTTAAAAAGAATAAACTATTGTGTATGTTTGTTCTATGAATCATGAATAGAAAGAAAAAAAAAAGGATAAAAATGAAATCTTTCTGTTGTGTAGCTTTATGTCATGAAATATAGTTGAAAATGCTGTCACTATTTGAAAGCAAACAACATGATATAGCGGCAATTTTTTTCGTTTGTCTTTGAATCAATGACTTTAACGAAAAGTATTGGAGCTTCCACCTCAAATAGACGTTGCTTAGTAAAGAAAGCTTTCAACACAATCCATCTTGGATTAAAATATGAAACACGATAGTAAATCTAATGTAGTCACATTCTATCACTCTTGAAGTAACATAATTGATACTGAAATCTCATCGATGAGTATTTGAACGAAAGATGTTCTAAGGAATTTTTCATTTTCACAAAAAATCATTGAAGAGTGAAGTTGAGAAGTTCAATTAAATGGCATAAGATCGAACTTCTACTTTTATTTTGACAGTTTGTCGTCAAATAAGACGAACGAAGTTTTTCAAACGATCATTATAATCGATAAATGTCATTGCTTCATCGGTTTCATTCATAGTCAAAAGGATATTTTTTTTCATACTTGTTCTCTGCTGCAGTAGTACTCAGTTCTAAATCATCGCACGCACTCTTGATCGATCATTCATTCACCTCGTACGATGCTCAAGTACATCAATTCGATTGCGTCTAACACTCGTAATAGCCATTTATTACACTCCAGCGTATAATCGGTCAATTTTGTTGCTTTTTTTACGCAACACATACCATTTAATTAAATAGGCATGATTTTCTAGTATACCTCGACAAATTAGTAACGGTAGAACTATTCAAAACATGTATAAAACAGTCTGTATGGTATTGCAAAAAAGCATTTCGTGAGCCAATACAGACGAATGAGAATGCTGAAATATTTATTTGCTACTGTTTTTTTCTTTATTATCGTTGTTTTTGCTGAACACGTCGTTTTGGGAGGTAGACTTTGTCAATTTGTTTGAGGTAATAATTTCATCTTTCTCCTTTTTTATTGTTGTTCCAAGGACGTCGTTGTCGGTGTTTGGCAAGTAATTCAACATGTTGGCCAAATGCAACTATCTGGCAACAATTCAATAAATCAGTCGATGGAAGTTTGATTTTGGTTCAACCATCAGCTGAACTTTGCAGTGGTAATCCACCGGATTTGAATGCGTGTACGGTCGCTGTTATTCAATGGTCGAATTCGAAATGGCGTAGTGATCAAGTCGGAGCAATGCAAAATCACAATTGGGAAAATAGTTCATGTTCAGCTTTTCTTCTCAATATTACATGCACACAAGGAGCTGTTCCTCGATTAGCAGTAAATGCTACAACTGTTGAGCACATACAAACAACGTTACAATTTGTTAGCAAGTATAATCTTCGATTGGTAATGAAAACTACTGGACATGATTATTTGGGTCGATCGACGGCTGCCGGTTCGTTGCTTCTGTGGCTTCATTATATGAAAAACATGACTTTAGTCCGACAGTACACATCGTGTACTGGTGAACGTATATCGAATACCATTCGAGTCGGTGCCGGTGTTCAATGGGGTGAAGTTTATGCTTGGTTATCAGCTTACAATTTGACAGCGATTGGTGGTGCATCACATACTGTAGCTTCCGCTGGTGGTTACTTGCAAGGCGGTGGTCACGGTCCGTTGACACGTTGGGCAGGTCTAGCTGTCGATCAGGTTCTTGAGTTTGATGTCATTACTGCTAATGGAACACGTCAAACAGTCAATGCTTGTCAAAATAAAAATTTGTTCTGGGCATTACGTGGTGGAGGTCCCGGAACTTATGCTGTTGTACATTCGGTTGTTCTTCGCACGTATCCATCGCCGACTATGATCGGTGCTATTTACGCTGTTGCGGCACCAAATGACACACGCTATGCTCGTTTTATCCAAGATTTTACTCGATTTATACCTACATTAGCCGATTCTGGCTGGGCTGGTTACTTTTCCATGGTAGATCTGACGATTATCATTAGTTTTTTCTGGCCGAATGGAAACCTCACTGTGGCTAGAGAACAATTCAATAAATTGATGCAGAAAAATATGGATTTAAAGTTTACAGTTAATACAACCTTTACATTGCCATCGTTTTACGCTTTTTATACAGCTGTGCTGGCTTCAAGCAACCCAACTGGCTTCAATGTTTTGCTCGGCTCACGTCTTATTCCTGAAACAATCGTTCGTAATGAACCGGATAAGGTAGCCAATGTACTCTCGAAAATCAAGCGCCAAAGTAAAAGTGGATCGAACATACTGGGACACCTAGTAGCTGGCGGAAAAGTATCCAATAAATCGATCAATAGCAGTGTCAATCCAGCATGGCGCACCGCACTCCTACATATGGTTTATGTACAAAGTTGGCCCGAAGGAACATCGGCTGCCGATCAGCAAGTTGGCGCTAGAACCGTTCAAACTCAAGTGGCTCTTCTCGATACGATAGCCGGCGGTGCACAATCTGCTTGTTATATGAACGAAGCCGATCCGAACGAACCGAATTGGCAACAGAAATATTTCGGTACTCAAGAAATCTATAATAAATTAAAATCGATCAAAAATGCGGTCGATCCAAGCGGTCTCTTCATCTGTAAGAATTGTGTTGGCAGCGACGATTCAACTGCCGATCTCAATTGTCCGCTTCTCATGTAAAAAATTCTAACGAAAGATCAGATTAAGATCAATTACTTGTGGATTAAAAATGGATTTAAATCTGATTTTTCATTAAAATATTTTACATGGCTACAAATGAACGCTTAGTATCAAGAAATAAAACAAGTGTTTTCCACATAGTTGATACACGTTTTGATCATTCAAAATATAGACATCTGTTGAATGAGATAAGAATATACAACGAATGAAATTAAGCAG